AGGAGTGGGTCAATGACTACGTTCCACACTCCCCGGCCGGGCTAGGCGTTCTCTGCAACCTGTTACCCTCTAATAACCTCGAAAGGTCATAGAGGGGAAAGGTTTGGATGAAGTTTTAAAAATAAGATCTACGTTTTTAGGATTTAAGTGAAAGAGTACAAACTTAAATGTATAGGTGAAGAGGCACAACGTATCTACGTTAATGCACTCTTATTAGATTATTTTATTTTATCACTATAAGCTTTATCAAAAAGGAAGGTCTTAAGCGCACTCTTAAAAACGGATAGGCTGTCTGCTCCCCGAACACAAACTGGAAGCTGATTCCACAAATGTGGAGCTTGATAAGAGAAGGCTCTGGCTCCCATTGTACTTTTAGAGACTCTAGGAACAACCAACAACCCTGTATTCTTGGAACGCAATGCCCTAGTAGGACAGTAGGGTATAATGAGTTCTTTAAGGTAAGATGGCGCCTGCCCATTAAGGGCTTTGTAGGCGAGAAGAAGAATTTTAAATTCTATCCTGTGTTCTATAGGGAGCCAGTGTAAGGCAGCCAGAACAGGAGTAATGTGGGCCCTTTTCCTAACTCAAATAACTTTGTTGCTTTAACACAATTTCATTAGAAGTTGTCTTAACTCAATAACCATCGATGCAAACTATTGCCTTGATTCTCTTTGTTGAGCCAAGGCATTTGCCTTTAGAGTGTACGTAGACTGGGCATCCCATATAACCTGGCTGAGCCGATATAAAAACAATCAGCCAAATAACTTTTCAATACATTATTGATTACTATTTTTTTGAGGTACTTTTAGGTTGCAGTGAACATAAGTCAGAGGTACATGGTGTACTTTTCCTTCACTACATGTATTTAATACCTTTAGTTACTTCACAGATCTGGATGAATGATGTGAAATATAATCAAGTGTTGAATCAGACTTTAGTTCCACCTGGAGTAAATCCACCAAGCTACCCTGCAGTATACAAAGTCATTCAAACTAGCTGCACCTTCACCAGCTTTGAGAACACTTTCATGATCAATCATTGTAAAACATATCATATATATTATTCTGAAATGGACCAATCTGCACAAAGACTACTTTTACTGTCGCTACTTTCACTATATTTTGATGAGAATACTTTTCTACTTTTACTTGAGGAACATTTTGAATGCAGGACTTTTACTGTAACACTCTGGTAGTTCTACTTTTACTCAAGTACAAGATCTGAGTACTTATAATTTCACTACAAGATCTGAGTACTTGTACTTTTACTCAAGTACAATATCTGAGTACTTATTCCACCTCTAGTAGTGTATTAGTCTGAATTGTAGCTACAAAATCACGCAGAGCTGCATAAAAATAGACTCACAATTGTAACAAGTGGAAAATAATATTTACAAATGTGTACAATGATTTGTAGGTAATTTTGACTACTCAAGACACCTGACTTATACAAAGGAAGACTGTGTTCATTCTACAATTACATGGGATTAAAGCAACATCTAGTTTTACTTGTATAATATTTCCATTTTGTATAAAAGACAGTTTGTTTTCATCTGTTTTCGAATAAACAAAGTATTGGCTTTCAGAATATTAAACTTGTTTCGGCAAATTCAGATGATAAATACAACTTTGAAGCTTGTAACGGCATAATTACAAGCAGAGAAAGGACTAATGTAACATCACAGCAAGCATAACAACAGCCGTGTGTTATGAACACATACGCCAAAATGACATCATCTGTCGCTTAGTGACAGGTTTTGGCAGAGCAGCCAATGATGCAATACGCTTATCTGAAAGCGTTTTCCCCTCTCCTGAAATGACATGACCCAAAAATGTAACTGTTCTTTGTACATATTGGAGTTTTGACAAACTGGCCTTGTGGCCCTCGGCTGCGAGGTGTTTTAACAAGGAAATGGTATCAGCTCCACACTGTTCTGCTGTGGGTGCGCAAATCATGAGGTCATCAACATACTGGATGAGAGCGGTGCCTTTAGAAACTTGGAGAGAGACCAACCTTGTACACAATGCCTGGTTGTACACAGTAGGAGATTCACAGTAGCCTTGACACAAACGTGTGAATGTGCAAGGTTTACCATTATATTCAAATGCAAACCAAAATTGACTGTCTTTGTGTACAGGAACACTGAAAAATGCATTTGAGAGATCTGTGACAGTAAAAAAAATGCTGCAGAGGCTGGAACTTGGGAAATAATCAGATAAGGATTCGGGACGAGCGTGCATGCACAGCTGCATTTACAGCTCGTAAATCCTGGACAAATATCCACCCGTCAGGAGGTTTGTCTCCCCTTGTTTAAGCAGAGAGGTAAACACAGGCCGAATGCCATCAACAGCTTCACGTTTCAATGGGTACTGGGGTTGATTTGGACGGAACGTGGACATTAAACCTACGTCATATCTGTGAGCTGTCCAGAGTGAGTATGGCACATCTGGCAAGGAAGCTCAGAGATATGAGAATTACCCGTAAAGGCGGGAAAAATGGCATCACCAACCTCATCATCCTCAACCAACAGCAATGTGCGCAGAACGGCTACGTTCGTGCAGATTTTCATTTTATACACGTCATGTGACATGACATATTCTGTGTGTGTAGGTGCCCAATCAGTGACTGACTCCCAATCTTTAACAGGTTAGGGGTTACCAAAAATGTAACATCAACACCCATGACGGCCAAAGTCAGTGTGGGACATTTCTCAAATGCTGTTTCACTGTCATATTTCAAATATATACCCTCTTTAACCACAGACATGTCTTCTACATTTTCTAATTACTCAATAGCATAATGTGTGTGTGTGTGTCACTTCCCTGGTTAGATGCTGCTGGCTGAATTTCCGTCTCGCTCGATTGGGCCCCCTCCTCCCCATCTGGTGTAGGTCAGTCTGATTGTGAATGATGGCCCCGTCCTTGCTGTCCCCCTCTGCCTCCACTGCCAGTGTTAAGTGAGCAGTCCTGAATCCAATGTTCAACACTGCCACACTTGAAACATCTTTCGTCAAATGAAGGTCTTGCTTCTCGTCCTCTGCCTCGGAAAAACCTCCTCTGCCTCTCCCTCGGTTTTGTGAGCGGCCAGCATTCTGCGTAGCTTGCGCTGTGGCTGTGAGTCCGTTGAGAAAGGCATTACTGAGGTGTGTCCCCCAAACACCTGCTTGGTCCCCTAGGGCATCGGGTTTGTTTATCCCGCTGTAGTCCCGGAATACTTGGGGCTGATGGGGGTGGACGAGCTTGGAGTTGACGGGGAGTCTGTTGACTGCATGGCTGGGGCTTGTAGTGGCAGGGGAGGTGGTTGAGGTGGGCCAGCCGGATTGCCAGGGTTGTACCCCGGGGGAGGGAAGGATACCCAGAGTTGAGGAGAGGTCATTCAGGCCTGCAATGGAAGGACACAGAGATGTCTGGGGTTTACATGGTTTTGGAAATCATTTATTTCCCTTCTTTTCTTCACATTCATCTTCAAACTTAATATTTTCTTTAATGCCCAAGGCCAACTGCCTTCTTTCACGGCATTCTGCTTCATCCTCCCAGTATTATAAACACTTTCTGTGAGTGTCCAGTTTTCTATAAGTCTTTTACTTTAACTTTATTTTTACCCTTCATTCCATCTTCATGTTCTTGTAATTTATTCTTTAGGTTCTTGATTTTTAATTTACTCAAAGAAACTCCCTTTGGAAATCCGAACAATTCCGTCCAGATATTTAATTTAGACAGACTGTTTTCACCATGTTTTGCTCGCATGACATCCACAATCGGACCCTCAGGAGGGTGTACTAGCCCCCTCTGCTTTGCGTTCCATAACAAAGTCTTTAAGTGTTACCAAAACACCCGGTGTTACTAAAACACTATTTTTCACCCGTCGGTGATGTGATATTTTGTTCCTCAGTACAAATCACACAAAAACTGATCGTAAACCCAGGCTACGATGGATATCCCAAATATCCTACTTTCGAGCAGTCCCTCTCATAAATGTCATGCGTTTAATTACGTTTAACTTTAAACAATTTAGACACTGCACATCTCACCGAGTATTGAAAGCCTTTTGAGTTCGTTGGATCTCGTGAAGTCAATCGGTTCCACCCTGGCGCTGGTCCTCTCGTCCCGTACGGTTTCTGTCGAGGTAGAGGAGAATCCGAGGATCCTGGAGCGCGACCACCAGCGTCCGTAGGTGTCCCCAATCGAACTTGCAGAGATCCTGCCGACAACGCCAATTGTTATGGAAATCTGAGACCCAATACTGTGGAGATTCACAAGTCAGAAAGATCAGAAATAAATGGTGAAACAGACAGAGTTGTCTTTCTGGTTATTTATTTGAAGCTTCAAATAAATAAAACACAATACAAAGACACAGGTCTCACAGAGTATAGGATAGTCTGCAGGAGTGTGCGCAGTAGTAATACAATAGCAAAGCTTATATACAGGAAAGGGCGGGAAGCTCAGAAATCTGTCTTCACACGGTCTCATATTGTTATTAGACACCTGTCCTTGAGCTCAGAATAGGGAAGTTCTTGTGAGACTTTGTGTGAAGAGGAGTAGCCTCAACATAGTCTGCCAAATCAGCTCTGTGGCCTTGAAGCGCTTGGGAATAAAAACCCCATTAGAGTATGCAGAGAAAACAGCACATAATAGGAAAATGGTACAGTAGTGTTAGACAATGCTTTTAGAAGCATTTGGTTTTAGCATATAAGGTAAGGTAAAGAAATGTCCACTACAATATGTGTTTGGTTCTTGAGTCTGGTCTCATTATTTCAGTTTTAATAGCAATCCAAGTCTAAGTCTTTGTAAGAATTGGAAGCATTAAACACTTTTGATTGTGGAGCGGAATTGATCCATCATTTGTAGCATCCAAGTGATATTTGTTGTTATAGCCACCTAGATGACAGAGATGAGTGCTTAAGCCAGGCCTTGCTGTGTCAGTTTATTATTAACAACTAGATTTTCTTCTGATTAATCAGACATGGGTTTCTCTTACGAGGACTGAACCACTTCCGTTGAGAAATATACGCGTACCCAATGTTTCTCCAAAAAGAGATGTCCAAGAAGGCAAATGTTGACTTCTTCTGTATGGATGTAACATGCAGGTAATCCTCACTGTCATATTGCACATCCACAACAATGTTTAAAATGGCCTATGCCTCAGCAGTCATTTTAGATGATATTGATATTGTTGTCATGTCAATTAAAAGTGTATCTTTGTAACACTCAATCACAAAATGCTGCTCCTGCTTCTTAGGTACTGGCCATACCTTAACAAAATAGCCGAGGGATTACCAGAGCTTCTGCCGTTGACAGAAATGAGGCCATTTCTTAGCGTGATGCATGCTAAAGCCCATACAGCAACATGCGAGGTACATCACATCTTTAATGCAAAGGACTTTTAAATGTTGTGCATGGCATGCCTTATTGGATATCAACAACTTCTAAATAAATGCTACATAACACTACTTGCGCTGTGTTGCAGGTGAGATGGGGTGGCAGAAGTCAGGACGGGGCAGGAAACACAGTGGGAGAGGAAGTAGAGCAGGTACGTTATTAATGGCTGTTACTGCCAGGCAGGCTGTACTTGTGTGGTTTTCCTTCCCTCCTGTGTTTCTCTCTTCTCCCTGTCTTCTGCACAGCTAATCAGCAGCTGATCGGTATCTGCCTGTGCACCTGAGTCTGATGGCTGATTGGATCCTCTCACCCTCAGCTGGCCTATCAGCAGCCAGGGCCGACCATAAAGGAGGCACCCAGGAAGTCTTCTCGCTCTGTCACTCTGGGCCTGTTGCTGATTGAGGAGCCTGCAATAGACTGCAGTGTTTAGCAACTCATGCTCCTTGTATTGTCTGACCTTTTTGAAAGTGTGTGTGTTGAGAGGTGGAGGAGTTAGGTAAGTCTGGGGTACCCTGTACATTTCTCACCACGTAGCTAACTAATGTTTAGACACACTAGGTTAGCGGATTGTTGCCACCCCTGTATATTGTTTTGTCAAAGTCTTTGTAGTTTAGTTAGTGAGGGTTTTTGTTTGAGTTTTGGTTTCAAGGGATATATGTAGAGATAGGCCTGGTTTTGTTATGCTTGTTTCTTTTGTTTGGCACAATCCTTTGACTCCTCCTCCTCACCAACAGAGTGTTTCAGTTATATGTCTGTTCGGTTCTGGGTTTACAAAATAAACCTTTTGTAAACTGTTACGCTGACTCCCTCATTTTTTATTGGTTGTATGTTATTGTCTCCAGGTCCCCTAGACCTTAGTGGGGACGTAACAATGGCATTATTATAACTGTATGGATACAAGAGGTCTTAATAGAAAGCAGTACAAATATGTATGTGTCATCTCAGTGACAAGCCTGTTGATTAGTTTAAAGCATATCCTTTATGTCTGAGTTCAAATGAAAGATAGGCAGCTCATATGTTCAGCAACAATAAATGCATGCATATTGTAGGAAGTCAGTACACAAGTTTTCTCTTAAACCATCCAGTTCAAGGTCTATGATGTGTAGGTAATATTGTTATGTAATGGTGACCGAACATTAATTGTAACATTCATTATAGGTGAACAGCTTTCTCTCCAGCTCTGGTCACAAAATACATGACAAAAGTAGGTTGGTATTAACACTACACACTGTGATAAGGCAGCCCTGAAAAGTATTTTACAGAGAGTTCCCTCCGTAAAAACATTATTGGTGTATTACCAGTTCAACAACCTTTTAACTTTTGGGTTTAGTCATGTCTGTCAGGTTTCTCACTCAGTATTGCCTTTTTGATGTGAATACTTACTTTTTTGTTTGTGGATATATTTTTGTCTTTTTTAGGAAGAGTGAACATGCTTACTCAACAGGCCATGGGTTGGAACAGAAGGAAGAGGGACAACCTTCATCAAGTTTTAGCACACAGATGTCAAAGTAAGGGCAAATTACAATTGTCTTCTCATCTGACATTACATATTTATGAAGGATGTCTGCAATGTAACCTCATGGCTATATAAATGATGTTCTCCCTTATCCACACTTCCTCTTGCAAGTCAGATGGTGTCATGGAATGTTTCAACTGTTCTTCTGAAGGTCTTGTACTGAAAACTGGTGTTCTTTGCATTATGGTGTTGCATGGCACTTTTGCTCTGACATTTTCTTTTTTTTGTAAAGATCACAGAGAGGGCAAAGGTGGAAGCTGCCAGCTTCAGCGACTTCAAAAAGGAGCACAACCTTGAACAGGAGACCATACAGCAGTGGGTGTATGATGCCAGGCAATGGGTAAGACATACCACAGGTTTTCCATATATACATCTGTTAATTACTGTAAGTTTAGACATACAATATAAGTTGGCTATATGTTGAAACTGAGACTGTCACTGATTGTATCTCTTCTCCAATTGTTTTATTGCAACTATTTAGAGAGTCTACGCCCCAGTGTGTACTGAAGGACTGAGGGTGGATATTGAGAACATCACCGTCACTCTTTTGCGCAGGAAGCAAGATCTGTATCGTCAGCATGGTTTGTTGTCAAACGTAGTTATTGAAATTACACTTCAAAAACAACAAACATTCTGGCACCATGACACAGTTTTGTTTCCGTTTCACTTTGCAGACAGCAACCAGGCAAGGCAAAGAAAGAGGAAGAGAATGAGAGAGCTGAAGAAGAAGCTTCGCGAAAAAGTTGTGCAATACAACACCGGAGTGCAGGAAGAGCATATTGACGAGGAGTTGGCTTGCAGTCTGACAGAGGGCTACACCCTACCATGGGAGAGGCATGCAAATGGTAGGATAATTGCTAGTTTGGCTTGTTGTTTTTTTTAGTCCATACCAAAATATGACAGTTTATCGTGGGGCAGAAAAAGCAATGGTGATGCCTGCAAATATATAATATTTGTTATTAGTTTACATTATAGAGAACCAATGCTATCGCTACAAAGATTCGTGTCTCAGAAATGAAAATCATTCTGTAATAATATAATTTATGAATAAATATTCCTTGTCCACTACTCTATTCCTTTCCTCAACCTAAAGGCAACACCTTCAGGTTGAAGAGGTCTGTCTTTGAGCAGGTAATGCTGGTCAGATGTTTGGAGGAGGAGCAGAGCATCCTGGTGAAAGAGATGTTGCAGCACATCATGTTCCTTCTGAAGGAAGTGGAAGCACTGAGAGGACAGACTTTGGAGGGCATCACAACCAGCAGTATGTCTGAGATCTTAACATTTGAATATTTTCATCCACTCTTCAACACATTGCATGTCTTACATAAGTAGAACACATCTGTCACTGTGTCAGGCCGAAGTGAAATAGTAAATTACTGAAACTATTCATCATCAAGATCATAATCGATTATTTTCTGTCTATTGACTAATTGTCAAGCACGATATCAAACATTAATCAACATATCCCATTTGGCACCCAATATATACTAACATCCTTCAGTTTAAGATGGATTTACCTACTTTGTAGTGTTTTTACATATGCAGCATTGTACAATGCAAAGAGATTTGCAATTGTCATGGTTTGTTTACATTGAGCCCTTTTTTTGTGTGGTTATTCCTATATATACAGATTTCGGTGACCTGACAGAGGATGCTGCACATGGGCTCAAGAGTGTCCTCAGTCGGAGGTGGCACTTCCTCAAAAGCCAACACAAACAGGCTGTACATGCGTACAGCGGTGTAGCTGCTATGGAATGCCATGATCTTCAATTACAGCAGGACATTGAGGAGTCGGATGACAATGACTACACTAGCCCTGAGTCTGAGGAAGAAGACCTGTAAAGGTTTCTGCCAAGCAACAGAGGCACTGGAGAGCTCTTTCACAAGGGATGTGTCACATCCACACGCTGGCGCACGCCATAATAATGACAAAACACATTTAAAACACACTTAAAGCCATACAAAATAAAGACATTATAAAACACTATATATGAGAACAATATGAAACTATGCACTTGTTTCGCCCGACTGAGTTCATAATAATGTGAAAATGTGTTTATATTTTGTATTTCCGTTTATTTAAAGCGCTTTGACTTGCTGATGTGTATGACAATAAATTGCCTTGCCTTTATATTAAACTGACACTTATTACTCAAACAAGTGCTTTACAATGGTTGTTTTCTTGTCACTGCATTTTGTCATTCGTTGATTATGAACTATTAATGTGAATATATTGTAAATAGAGTTCATACAATAACATAATTCTTTATTAGTAACGTGCATAATGCAGGGTAAATACCAACACATTCTCACTCCCAACTCGTACTTCTAATTTTGTATTTTCTAAACCACACACTGTTATTTACTCAACAATAACACAAAATTATTCTTGTGTTTATTTATTTGTTTGATTATATAATGTCGGACTTTTGGAGTCCGTCAGGACCGAGGGTCGGAGCAGCTCATTTGCTTTAGAGAATTTTACACCCGGAAGTAAGTATTCTCTCTTCTTTGCTTGACAAACCCTGTAATAGTCCTCAAGCTCTGTGATTGGATGTTGGAGTGGCAGTGCGCCGAGCGTCCAACAGCACTTTGAAATGGGATGGAACCATGGCAGACTGTCCAAAACTGGAGTCGGACGGGTCCACCCCGTCCCCAGAACTACACGTGCTGGCTATTGTGTGTTTCGCACAGGTTTTGCATGTTTTATGGCACGTCTCTACTGGGAATTGTAGTTTTAAAAGACGTTTTCGTATTTCCCATAATAAGAAGTTGCCAGTATTAAACTGTGAACATCCCTGGAGGTTTAGGGGATAGGAAACACTCACATTTAAAACATATAATTCATAAATGGGTGAAAATTGCTTGTAATATATATACCCACATGACAGCTAAGGTCAGAAGAGCTTTATTTAACAGCTGGTCTTATGTCTGTGACCCCTGTTGTTGTTCATTGATGAGCCTGAAACAGGGGGTTATGTATTGTAACCCTAGTTATATAAGCACAGGCGGAGCCCTCTACTGGACTCTATGGGTACTACTCTCTATCATGCTGTGCGTGCTTTCACCTACTGAGTTTTCGTAAACGTAGCCGGCCAATCGGGGCGAGCCTACCTGAATGCGCGCGCAGGCCCACAGTATATAAAGGCGGCTACACCCGCCGCCCACTATCCTATACACTCTTCAGCGAGCGGACTAGGAAAGACATGGCCCCCAGGTAGAGGGCTCCGCCTGTGCTTATATAACTAGGGTTACAATACGTAAGCCCCTGTTATATTTCACACAGGCTCCGCCCTCTACTGGACTCTATGGGTACAGTGGGCGGAGCCCCGATGTATACACGCCCTGTCATCCAACAACATCGACCCACCACACCGTCCCTGACCGGCTTTTGGCTAACATCCATTGCATCCCCACTTCCTCCCATCCGGTTGTAACCGTAGAGAAGTTGGGGCCGCAATTTGGATAAGGCACACTCACACACGCTTACCTCGTGTAGAGTATAGAGCATTGAAAAGATCTGTGCGGAGACTCCGTCTGGAGCCTACCGCGCACCATGTTCCCCAGGTCCCTCAGGAGCATGGGAAAACATAAGTGCACCACGTCCCCCACACTCACACACG